CCTGGGAGGGCCTATGGGCCATAACAACCAGTTGACCAATCAACACAGGGCAAGCCCTCCAAGGCTGGAGGCACACCAATCCTGAGCCTGTGCGTACCCCTAGACACTCCCCTTACCCTGCCCTACAAGATCTCTCGGGAGCCCCTAGGAGCTGTCTTTTGTAGCCATCCGCCATGGCGGGGGGGTGAAAGACCCGAGCTAACATGGGGTTAGCTCGTTAAAAAAAAACAATAAAGCCTCATGCAGTTTGCAGCAAGCTCTCGAATCCGTCTGGTGATTGGGGTGACCTAGAATGTGGCCTGGGACCCCGGATACCTGAGTTCTCCAGGGGTCTAACATATACCATTATTCCTATTAAAGAATTTTAAAATCTTGTTTAAAAAGCATAGAAACTAATATCATTTAAAGTGCTTACACTACGCCCAGGACCCCCTGGGAGTCTTGAGTGCTCCACACTGGCCCCTCCATCCCTGTGTCTCTACCACATGTGCTCCCTAAGCTACCAGGCGCCTCCTCACATGTGCTTCCAAGGTTAGTTCACCACACCATGTCTATGATAGGCTTGCTACCCAGTCTTAAGCTTCAGGGCAAGAATCAACCCTTATCATTTCTACATTCAGGGTTAGAATCAATGTCTTCAAAGAAAACTGCCGAAAATGAAAGAACTCAGGGACTATCTCAGTGTGTCCCTCTCACCCCCCACAGGGACTCTAATCAAAAAGGAAGGGATTCTGCACCTTTGTAGCCAGTTCTTTCTCTCGGTCTACCAGGCTTTCAATGTCTGCTGAGTCATAGCCACTGCTCTCACTAGGTGTGATGGCGCTTTCGAAGGTGGTGGTTGAGATCTGAGAAGACACACTGGTAGAGGTACTGAGGGTCCCACTGCTGAGGCTGGGGGACAATGAGTCACTCAGAGACTTGGGTATGCTGTCACCAAGTCTATCCCGAAGCAGCAAGAAGTGTCGAGTTTTTTCCACCTGAGAATATGAACATCATGAGGCATTTTAACATGGAATCATCCTGCTCTCACATCACAGCAAACCAACAGGCTGCAAGGAGACAGACATGGAGAGAAGGCAGGATAGGACCCGGTGAGCCCTGGGTGAGCACCTCGTGCAGCAGCTCCAGCTTCTCCAGCTCCCACTGGTGCTCCAGGATGAGGCTGTCCCCACGAGGTCTCCAGCCTGCTAGGTTCTCCTCACCCCGCACATACGCCACAGAGGTGTCCAAGACTCTTCTTCTCCGCCTCTGCATGCCTGACAGAAGAGGAAACTTATCTTTTGTTTTTTTTATTCCCTCAGAAAAAAATTTGATTCCAATTTGGGTCAAAGTAAATTACTCACACATTTTTACACAGCAAACTAAATTTAGCCTTAAAATCTATGAGATTTTTATTTTTTATTTTCAAGATAGGGTTTCTCTGTGTAGCAGTCCTGGGCTGTCCTGGAATTCACTCTATAGAAAATGAGGATAAACCCATGGCATTCTCCCAAAGCTTTTCTCTAAACTGGTTTTCATTTAAGACGCAGGGCTCAGACCTAGGGCCCAGTGTATACTAAACAAACGCTCTGCTGTTATTAACCTGTGTCTCAACCCTGACTATGAACCTCTGGTGAAGTACCACGTAAAGCTGATGTTACAAGCTCAATAATGCAAGGCTAACAAAGGATCTTTGTTAAGGTAGTGTACTAAGTAGCTGTGAGGTTTTCTGAACAGCCAGGCATGATGGCTCAGAACCTGTGATCCTGGCACTTGGATCACAAGAGATCTGCTGTAAGTTGCAGGCCTGAATAAAACCTGGTCTCAAGGAAAGCTTGAGACCTAGGGCGATGGAGAGATGGCTCAGCAGTTAAGAGCACTGGCTGCTCTTCCAGAGGTCCTGAGTTCAATTCCCAGTAACCACACAGTGGCTCACAACTATCTATAGTGAGATCTAGTGCCCTCTTCTAGTATGCAGGCATGCATGCAGGCAGAACACTATACATAAAAAATAAATAAACCTTAAAAAAAGAAAAGCTTTCTAAGCCAAAGTTATTCTAATTCTCAACAAGTTTATATTTTACAGCCTAGCATATCTTGTTGGATACCTTTTTTATAATCATATTATACATCATAAATCTTGTATTTATGTATCTAACCCCCACCACAAAACACCCTTTCTCTCTCTCTCTCTCTCTCTCTCTCTCTCTCTCTCTCTC